GAATACTTGCTTCGTTATTTTTTACGAAAATTAATTGCAAAAAGTTTTGTCATTATGTGGTAGAAGTGAAACCTGGACAAATTGTACCAGCAAGAGATGCATTACTGTGTCACTGCTTTCAAAATTTAGCAACAAAACGTAATGAATTGTTCTTTTCAAAATTTGAAAACAAACTTACTTGTTTCCTCCTCGAAAGTACGTATTATCTATTTATGAAAATACCACTACACTATCAAGTCAGAAACACTTAACGTTTGGTCTGCTATGGTGCCAGGGACGTCTGTCACAGTGGTCTGCCCCAACGCACCTCTCGTTTTGTTGGGAAGTCGAGTCAGAGGAGTCTGACGATGCATCTACTTAGCTTCGCCGTCGTTTTGCAGTTGATTTAAACGAGTTTTGGCAAAACACGCTAACAAAAAACATGAGCTCGATGTAATAGTTTGCACAGGCATGGGGCACTCCATCTATACACAGCGGTGAATGGACGACGCTTACATTAAACTGTCAAATAAGACTTCTATACCTCCAGCGTCGCTGTAAGTTGAGAGACCTAGCAGTATTCGGCTTCTTTGAACAACAAAAGCACTGCTTCAGTGCTTTGCACCCACCCCACTACTCTTCGCGAATCACGAAACTGAAACTGTAGGAAAAGATTCGTAGACAGTTCGCTAGCTAACGCGATCGAATCCGAAGCCTGTACTTTCTATAATTTCCATGAGGGTACACAATCGCAGTGCCAAATTCCTCTCTAGATATTATTGTATAAAACTATGATCGAAGACATTGGGTAGTGCGGCGTCGAGCGTCGTGCCCACGCTCTTTCCATACACCAACTTGTATGTCGTTTCTTGCACGGCTGTGTTGTACGTGAAAATCACGCACGGAAGGATGGCATCATATGTCTTGTGTTCGACACTGACGTACATGGCCAACATGTCATCGATGGTTTTATTAAGCCTTTAAGACGCTCCATGAGACCATTTGTCTGTGGGTGTAGGCGGTGGAGCGGTGGTGGCTTGTCTGGCTATGTCTCAACATTGCCTTAGTCAAATCAGCAGTAAAGGCCGTACCTCTGTCGGGGACGAGAACATCTGGGGCATCATGACGGAGAACAATGTTCTAAATGAAAAACTTGGCTACATCTGCGGCACTGCTTTTGGACAGGGCCTTTGTTTTAGCGCTACAGTATACAATATACGGACGACGGCTTTGCTATACTACGATGGCTTTGATATAGTCTCGCACAGGTCATCGGTTCGGAACGACTGAACCTTACTGTAGGTCGTCGTTCAAATGTGGCACTTGTACTGCTTCGTACGCATTTCCAGGGCCTTTTCAATCGTCGTGGCTTCCGATACTGATTCCGTGACCGTCCTGAATGGGTCGCATACAAGGCCGGCGAAAAGTTTCTGCTTGACTTCCCGCATCAGGAAGCAGAGCTTCTTCTCGGCATGACAAAAGAGAAGCGTCCTTTCATAGGTGTACATACCGACATTCTCGTTTGGGAGCATTGCATGGCTCTTAAGTATGGTTTCGACTATTACTCTTTTGACGACGCTTGTGAAGGTGTCAAGAAATGCAGCAGGGAAAAGGTTCTAGGCCACATGTGTGGCTTCTCGGTTCTCAAACCATGCATGTTCGAGCTGAATTTTGCAGGGAGAAATAAATATTCGCAACATCTCACTGTTGGTTCAGTAGTAAAGGGGGACTTGATCGAACCTTGCAAACCAGCTTTCAGGGTCTTCCAGTGGCGAACCGCGGAAAGTTCACGGCTCCTTTGGTTGCCGGAGCAGTATTGGTGCAGACGGCACAGCGGCTGTTATTGTCACCCTGTCCGACATTGAGATCCTGGTTAGCAGCGAGGTAGAGCTCCCTACTCTGGTGGGGGCGCTTGTTGCCGGCAGCTGGCTCGCTTCTCAGCTTTGGCATCGATGTTCCCTTGACGATGTGGGCTTTGCTCAAGGCTGAAGGTTGGCCTTTGGTACGTGGGCCGGGAAGCACCTCCACCAGATGTCACTGGGTCGTGACGCTGACAAAGGTAGAGACAATTTGTCCATATAAAACTGTTTATTTGGCTGAACTTGTGGTCGTTAAACGGAATGTCATATTACAGCGATTCACAGGAGCACCAATAGCGGCGAATAGAGTGTATGCCGTCGATTAACTGTTAAGCGGTGAAGCACGTTGGCATTTATACATGTGCCATTGAATATTCCAGCGTTATGGCTAGCGGCCACATAGGTTCCGGAATAATATGTAATGTTCGCGTAGTGCGTGTCAACATAACAAATGATCTCCTACAGTTCTGAACCATCTCAAACACTGCAAGCATGGTTTGCACTGAAATTTACCTAAAGTATAATAGGGCGATGATAAAACTTGAGGAAAGAAAGTGGTGATATGCTTCAGTATGCATTTCGGTTTGAATGAAGCCGCCGAAATGAAAATAATTTTGAGAGTCTAATGTGCAGCTAATGCACACCTAATGAGTCACTAGATTGACATTACACCTGCAAAGCCTAATGTCTTTCAGAATCAGGTGTGCAATAGAGACTCAGATGACAACATGCACCAGGATTTCTGATGATCAAAGTACGCAGACTTTCCAGTGCGTGTCCTAATGTCAAAACACATCACATTGAAAAAAACTTTTGTTAATCTTTTAGAGCCAACAAAAACTCAATTTCTTACTACTAAATGTAATAATCGCGGGAATTCTAGATCCCAAAACCACTAAATGATAATGAAGAACGCCGTAGCGGAGTGCTTCAGAAATTTCGATGATCTGTGATTTCTTAACGTGCATCTAAGTTTACTTCAATTACTTGCTGATCTCGACATTCACGTACATGTTGTCTTTCGGAAATCTAAAACACTAAACAGTTTGTATTCCCATAGATTTTCGATCATGTTTCAGTAAATATGACATTGACATGAAGATGATGTGTAAGTCAGCCACACAATAATAATAATAATAATAATAATAATAATAATAATAATAATAATAATAATAATAATAATAATAATAATAATAATAATATTCCAGGGTCTCTTATGCATTCACGTAAGACAACTCGAAGGTGACAGCCATCTCTTTCTTTTTTCCAATAAGACGATGTGTTCATTTTGCCGCCCTTCAAAAACTTTCTGCAACTAATGTTGTTATGCATTGCCACCCCGGTTAAAGACGCCGTTTTGCGTAGCCAATCAGCCAGCCAGCCAGCCAGCCAGCCAGCCAGGATTGGGTGCGATGTAATATGACTATCATGCGACGCTATAATGACACGTCATCTCGTGGTTATTATTTTTTGCATGCATCTATTGTTGCCTACATTGCAGGATGCGAGACGCTGCCAACGGTCAAACTTTACATTTAATGATGCATCAAAGTTGTGATTTCATTACTAATCAATCATTTATTATTTACTTACTCGTGTAGTGTGCCCAGAAACAATTATGAGGTTGTACAGGCGCATCTAAAACAAGAACAACAACTTCTATTATTATTATTATTATTATTATTATTATTATTATTATTATTATTAATGATTGGATATTCGTGCCAGAAGCGCGATGGGGAGGCAAACTTTGCTGGGGCATTCAGGGGTGCTTTTCACCACCTTGCGCGCATAAATTTTGAATATGTGTTTAAAACTAACAAGCATAGCGTCGATCACTAACGCTGAAGCGGTACCCGAAACAGTTGCATAGACGTGCCAATTTGCCCTTTGCATGGAGGGGTTACATTACCCGATCAGTGGACACCGATGATTGATTGATTTGTGGGGTTTAACGTCCCAAAACCACGTTATGATTATGAGAGACCCCGTAGTGGAGGGCTCCGTTAATTTCGACCACCTGGGGCTCTTTAACCAAATCTGAGCACACGGGCCTACAACATTTCCGCCTACATCGAAAATGCAGCCGCCGCAGCCGGGATTCAATCCCGCGACCTGTGGTTTAGCAGCCAAGTGCCTGAGGCACTAGACCACCGCGGCGGGGCTCAGTGGACACCGAGGGCAACACAGGAGATAAACTCCTCGTATCGTTGTAGTGATCATTTGAAAGCGTATTTAAATATCAGTCACACTTTTACAACAAAAATACGGCTGGGAGCGGCAGCTGCCAAATGTGTGCCCCTCTGCCCCCTCCCCGCCACCAGTAGGTGGTGGAGAGCGAAGGCGTGACGGAGAGGGAGAGAGAAGTTTTATGAGCATTCATGCCTCCACCCCGCCACTGTTTTGCTGTCACAACGCTAGCTGTCACGCAGAGACAGCGGCGTACGTAAAAAAACAAAAAACAAGGGAGGGTAAGGGAAAGCATCCTCGTCGATCTCGGGGAGGGGGGCGGGCGCAGGAAAACAGTCATTTTGCTCTATGTATGCCACGCCGAAAAAAAAATCGCCTGAGAGGCGCGGGGAGGGGGGAGGGGGGGAGGGGAGAAAGAGGTAACTGACTCGGTGTGACAGCCCCTGGCTACGCCACTGCGTCGAGACGTAAAGGAACAGGCACCCAGTCAGATACCTTTCTTCTCTGTAGAGCAGGAATGCATGCCACTCATTCTTTTCTGCACACAAAGAAAGCCTCAGCTGCAAAAGCATTGCCTCTGAGATTTGTACTTATTGGCCTTGTGTTACAGAGACTCAGAGATGACCAACGCTTTTGACATGAGTTGGGAAACTTTGTTTGTTATCCAAAACAAAATACTTACAACTGCACAACTACATATATTGCAAACTAATATATAAGAAAGCTTCATTTGGCTTGCAAAGTTATGAATACACTTGATTGTTATTGTAAATTAATTGTACAGTGATACGTTAGTGCTGCTACCTGCACACTTATTTTTGTTAAGCCAGTAAACCAGAAGCTGCAACAGGCCTCGTTGTACTGCAGGCTCACCACCAGCTTTACGCAAGAACATGTGCTGCAAGTCCGCGGTTGCATAATTGCCGTGTTGATAGATACTGCGTGCATTGTAAGCATATCCTCCTTTAAAATTCGTCTACGGGATAGTTTCCGCTTGTCGGGAAGTTCTGCTGCTTTGATCGAGTGGCGGACGATGACTCACCATACGTGTCTGCTCCAAGCAGCCACATCGGACGCGCGCCTTGTGTTCGCTCTGAAAAGTGATTTCTTCCTCCATTTATCGATTACTCGTGTTGTTCGCGTGATTCAGTGTTGAGTGTACTTCCGAGGACAATCCACGACCCCTTCTGTGACAACAAGTGACTGATGTTATGCGAGAGCGTGAGCTTTTTGATAGGTAACTGAAGAGTGCTCAGCCAATGTCAAAACTTTGGTAAGTTGAAGAAAGTCGCTGAACTACGTAGCTGGGTTACTTCATTGTGTGACAAATGGTGTGCAGGAAGCGGTGGCCCGGGCGGCTTGTTGGCACAGCGAGGATGACAAACCAGAGTCCTGATAGGCAGGTATGTTTTGAGGTGGCTAATACCCGTGCTACACGGGCAGAAAAAATGGCATTTACCCCCGAATGCCTTCAGATTTATTGCCATTCGCGCGGTGCCACACGGGCGAACGAAATGGCATTCATCCGAATGCCATTCGAATGCCATTCGTCACCAACTGCCTTCGCCAGAACTCAGTTGACTGAGAAATGCCTACTCTCGACGACACAGCTCGCGAAGTGCGATTTACCTGAAAGTATATAAAACAAATCGTATTGAGCTAAAAATGAAATTTCCCGTCTTTTATTTGCACTAAAGTCTTAAAAAGATGCTTTGAACGTTATACGAAGAAAATCAAGTATTGATAATGAAACGCTTGTCAATTTTAGTGTCTATTTACGCTGTGGATCTGACTAGTGTTGGCTTAGGTTGCTACGGTCGGCTGCAACGTTGTAAAACAAAGCAAGAAACTAAAACTTAGGACAGCGTAATACGCTTATTTCTACATTTGATGATTATCTGATGTGTATGAAGCTTGTAAATGCTTCTTAATTTTTTTTTATTGCTATTCACTCAATGCTCACTTGGAAGGTGCTGTGATCGACATCATCAAGTCAAATGTCATTCGCTTTGGACGTGTAGCAGCGCCGGCGAAACGAATGTCATTCGGAAACTGAAGGCCTTCGCCACCAAATGTCATTTTCTAGGCCCGTGTGGCACGGGTATTATTTTATATCACCGTAAAAACAGTCGCTGTGTGCGTTGATTGCATGTTTTAAAGATTCGCGTTGCGCTACGTAATCTATCCTTTGGTCATGCAAGTCTCTTGTCTTGATGTTATTCCTGGGCTGTTTACTGCACGAGATTATCCTTTGATCCCTTGTTGCCCTGTAAGAGTGTCTGCTTTTAAACATACTGGTGTTGCGAGAGCAGTTCACGTTCACCCAACGTGATAGTTTGTGCGTTTTTACGCGCAAAACAATCACGCGACTGAGCACGTAGATAGAAAAACGCACAGCCCTGTCAAGCACATTTCGTGGCTGCGCTCCGAATCCTTGTGCCAAAAATTCATGTAATTTCTCTGTGGTTAGAATTTCAACATAGCCGCCTCATAAATATTTTAAGAGAGCTAACTTGAAGAATACGTATTTTAGCAATATACACTATGTGCTGAAACTAAGAGTACACTCCTATCACTGTATTGAAGATATGTCGATATCGAGTGTTAGTAGAAGAAATATGAATTCAATTGAGTTAATTAAGCTAATACATGACACCCATTGTTGCAATATTTGTGGGAACTTTTCTTAGCTATATAAATCTTTGTTTTCTCCTTGAAGCATACCAGGTGCTCCATCACAAATAACTTACACTGTGCTCATAAACTATAATTGTTGCTTGATTGTGTGGTGCTTCAAGTTGTGGTTTCGTGCTTTCTTTTTTACATCAGTGTTGTACTGATATTGCCTACTTGCTTGTGTGACGAGGATGTAAACCTATGTGTAGCGTTCAAGGATTTAGTATTTATTTTGTTTTGTGAGGTAGTAAATAAAAAGCAAAAAGATCTTATTCATATGTTTCCAGATGTTGACAGAAAGTTTCAGAATATTAATATTTTTGTGAAGGGCTTATGTAACAAAAAAACTCCTAGAGATAGCTTGTGTGAACAAATGTCAAACTACATAGGAATTTGATTCAGAGTACCAACAGTTCGTTTCCTGAATAGCTTACATTTATGATGTAATACAATATGGATGGCCCCCTCTTACACACGCCATGTGCACATAAACCATGCACTCTTTGCAAATATTGTTTTCATCATTTAGATCACCCATACACATGTGCATGCTCTGCGTAGTGTTATTACGTAGTTTTGTGGATGCGAAACATTCAGTGGCACTCTGTCAATTGTCAGCAAGAAGGGGCTAGTCCAATATTGCCTATTCTGGTTGTGCCATGATCCCTTTATTCAAGGATTTACCCTTTAATGTATCAGTATACACTTTTCTAAGACATGTTTCGTACTCGCTATCTGTGTGTGATATAACCTTTGTTGTGTGTGAAAGTAATCTTTTGTGGTATCTTTTATATATGTATCAGCAATGGCAGCTGTTCATGGTCCTGGTACAGAGGACGGGCTACAGTCCACGATTGGAGCGGTCTTCCTGCAAGCCCTGACAAGCCTTAATAAGTGGTAGGCATTTCTTTTTGTTACCAAAGAGTGATAGTTCGGACACATAGCACCTATTGAGGTATAGCATACACTGTCTTTTAGCTTAGCTGTGGGAAGCCTATGTCCTGCACTTCAGTGCAGTATTCCTTGGACATGGAACATGCATCATTTGGTTTGTAATCCTTGAACATGGAATGTTGTCGGAGCCAACGTTGCGACACTTGGAGGCGTTTTGACAATGGGAACAGCTGTTTCTTGTCACTGCTGTCTTGAGCAAGGCAAGAGTTCTTGTTAAAGGGTTGCACAAGGGAAAACATTCAGCATTGTTTGTTAAACATTAGGTAATGTTTAGCTCAATATAACACAAGAATGAGACCGGTGCTTTTTAAACAAAATGGGTTATTGCAACGGAAGCACAAAAATTCACGGCGTGAGGCTCACCCTGTATTTTTAGTGCTTCAGTTGCAATTAACCATTTTATATAAAGTTAGGGCACATGCTGCGTCCTCTCTCATGGTCTTTGTGGTACATTGTGCTAAATATCACACAAGTTAGAAAGTTCGCTGCAGCGACATTCCCTCTTATAGGATTTGTTGTTCTTTTCAAGTTTCCTCCATCAACATCTATTGTGTTTGGACTGCCATGAAACTGTGTGCAATGAAATCTTACTTATTGGACACCGAGGACACAGATATGCATTTCGCTTATTGTCGTGAGGATTGCTTTTTTCCTAAATGTTTTTTAGTGGAAATGAGAGATTTCTTTAAGATCTTTTTTTTACAAGTAGAAGTGTCATTAATTTTTTGTGTTTTTTAAAGGGACAGCAAACAACACTGAAGCGTAAAAATTTAATGAATTTAAATAAGCACACTTTTGCTATGTGCACATTCTGCCCCAAGAATTTGGTGAATTTGTGTTTAAGGAAGTTACAGGGGTTGTTGTTTCAGCTCGTTTTTCAATTTTCACGTGTATGAGCAGATTTGTGGTATTTTTATAAGTTGTAGTGCAATCTTGTTTTAAGTAACATCATGCAACATGCAAGTACCTATTCCTTTCTAACAAAGCCTTCTCAGATAATCGTTATGCCTAAGAGTTTGATCATCTGAATTAGGGACAGCTTTTCTTGGGAGGCAGCACATACTCATGTTTCATCACATTGTTAGGAACATGTTCCCACTACAATCTATGAAAATACCATGAATGTGTTTATGTAACACAGCTCACAAGACATTGAGGCCTATCATACAGAGAAGTGTAATCTGTGTGATAGTGCCTTGAATAGTCTTGTTGGACTGCAAAGTAGAATTGCTGAATGAATTCATGCTTTTTTGGAAGTACAGTACTCACGGATTGAAACAGGACATTCCGAGTGTGTCGCCAGTGGTACACGTGCCGTCGCTTGTGAGTGCGCATAGAACCAATGTGTTGCGTTTTCGTGTAGGGCTATAGGGGGAAGACCTATGGAGCAGGATTACTCCTTTCGATTGCCAAATTGTCGGCCTGTAGTTCACCACGTGTACACTGCCAGGGCAGCGCTGCAAAGCTCACGCACATTCGCATGTCGACCAAATTGGCTCGCCGCTGTGCACCACTTTTATAGCCACACCAGCAGACGACCCTCTCATTCTGTGTGCTTGGGCAATGCAGTACGCATGCCGTGCAAGTAAGATGCAGGATTAAGTTAGTAGACAGCGCCTTGCGTGCATTTGTAGACATGATAAACATCTGCACAAAAGCATGAAAAGTTTACTTCGTGGTTTCTCTCTCGACAAAAAAGAAAATGGCTAGCAAGCTTTCCTTCATGCAACATGGAAATAATATCATATATTAGTGTCGTTAGGGCAAACTATGGCCTATTGTTGAATAAAAATGCGAGAATCTCGCTCGTTCTTCCGTGGCCGACACCTCTACAAATGCTTGCCACGCAGAATAGCCGTACTATTCATTCCTCGAGGCGAGACAACAAAGTACTAAGTCATTGTTTTGATGCTGCATGGAAACAGGGCCATGGCTGGTGCTTTTCTTTTTCGTCGTGACAAAAAGCTTGAAAAACTTTTTATGCTTTTGTGCAGTTATTTATCATGTCAACGAGCCCATTTCAGGCGCGACATCTTAGCGTTATCTAATTTCTTACTTGCACAGCCTACGTGCCCCATCGTCAAAGGGCGCCGATCTAGAGCGTCGTCCGCTTGTGTCATAATATAAATTGTCCGCACCGTCCCCATCGATTTGGGCTGCATGCATGCAAAAATGCGCGAGCCTTGCAGTGCCACACTGGCAGTGTGCACTTTGTGAACTAAATGCCAACTCTAGCGACCGGAATGAGTAAGCCTGCTCCGTAGCTGTTTTCGCCCTCACTCTATACAACAGTGCAACATCGTGGTTCCACTAGCACCCATGAGCGGCGGCACATGCATTGGCGGCCGCGCGCTACGAATGTCCTGTTTCAATCCGTGAGTACTGTACATATATGTTGACCATACTGGACATGTTGGTACATACTTGGGAGAAAACAGGAGTGCAAGCAAATACATTGACTGCTGCATTCATTATTCTTTTTGTGTCGACGTCTTAGCTCATGATGCTTTTCACTCCTGAGTGTAAATTTTATTTCCTCGCTGAGCTCGTACATAGACTCTAAATTGTATCATCTCTGTGACGTGTGGGTTCAGGCGATATTTTTGTCATCTGCATGGTCTAAAATTATTATGAGTTCAAGACTGTGATGTGCTCTTTCTTTAAATACTTGATTAACGCAAGTGTTCAGTCGGGTTGGCAATTTATCACATAGAAACTTTTCTAAGGTACGGCAAAATATCAACAGAGAAAAGGGAGACAACACAAAGTTGTGCTAGTTCCTGTTGCCACCCTTTTGATTGTGCATGTTTTTTCGGCTGTTGAAATTTTTCTTTAAGAAGAGTTTCTATCCTTGTTCTATCAAGACGTTCAGCAAGTGCTAGCACACCCCAGTGTGAATTCTTGTGCTTGTTAATGACAAGCGGTCAATTTCATAACTTGCAATACTGGCTAGTGAACATGGGCAATTGGGCACTCTAAGCATGGAGCTAGATAAAAATATTTCCTTTTTTATAATACTTTTGTCACCTCTTCAAGGTACATGAATAATGTATTTTCATCTATTGAATAATATGAAAAAGTAATCAAGGGTACAAAAATGTTTTGCTTGCTTCCTCCAATCTGTTGTTTGTAGAAAGATGTGTAGAAACGACCTGTAACATGTTACAACATGCATATCTGTGTAATATACTGTAGGTTACAAAAAGCACAAGTTTTTAAATTGTTTGCACTTGAGTTGTGTAGCGGTGTTACCTAGACGTAGCTCTACATTTCATGTGCCTGTTTGTTGCTCAATTTCACCTTGCACATAGGCGTGCGCATAGGAGTGGGGGGCAGCTCCCCTCTCTCCCAACTTGTTACCTAAGACGGGGGCTTCAAAATTGGAAGCTTACTTAACTAAGTTAGGGGGAGTGCCTTGGTGAACCTCCCCGCCACACAAGTGTAGCGAAACCCTGCACACGCCTATGACTTTGCACCTCTGAGCATGAGCCCTCAATAGTTCTCAGTTAAAGAAGAGAGATTTTAACGTGGAAGTTTTGTGTAAAACAAAGTTGTGGAATAGACCCACTGTTGCATGCCGTAGTCATACATTGGGTGCCATTGGAATCGTGAAAGGAGGTTATTCTGCAATATTGCCTTATAGAAGCTGACTCAGCTGATTCCTCTGTTCGTGATAGCTGGCTTTTCTCCAATTACTGATCAATCGGCGGCCCTTTGAACTGATGTATATTGGTTAGTTTTTTTGTTTTTTTCAACGCAGCATAAAGTCAAGGCTATGTGGTTCGACATTGAATCCAGATGACTCATTTAATATAAGTGATAAATATATATCACTATTTAGAAAAGGCACAACTCATCAATTGTAACGTCTATTCATGTGCTGCGCTAAAATGTATGCTTCAGTGCCTTCTAAGTTTTCATGTTCTCTCTTGCAGGTTTTCAATACAGCAGCGGTGCCACCACGACGGTGCTACAAGAGACCCTATCATAAGTGCAAAGTAGAAAATTATATACAAATGCAGTTCTTCCTGAAAATGTCTTATTCGGTGTTTCTTTGTTTGTTTGTAATTATGAAACTGCACTTTCACAAGAATTGTACACAAGAACGAACTAGCTCCATTTATTGTCCTATCGAAACTGAATTGCTTGACAATGTAATGCGTGTTTCCAAATGCAGGCATTATATACTTGCAGCATTATTTATCGGCCTCGAAATATTCTGACATGTAAAAAACAATGATCTGTTCGTTGGTGGAAATGGTCTGATGGTATTTCCTTTACAGTCCTGTAATGTGTGCACACTTTCAACTTAATAATGAAGCGATTTATTGTTCTGCTTTTCAGCAAATGTTCTGTTGATGGCATAGGGCCTTAGGCTACAATGCGACGTTTGATGTCAACCTAATGCATATGCTCGATAGCACTTCACTAGACAACGGCCATCAGAAACTCTGATGTCGGGACTCTATAGACTAACGCTAGCCAATGGTCATCAGAAACTCTCATGTCGAGCCTCTATAGACTTACGCTAGACTATAGTCATCAGAAACTGTAATGTCATAACTCTATAGACTAACGGTGGCCAATTACTACTAGACTCACATTAGGTACGAATTAGGAAAACACATTAGACTGACATTAGACAGTTTAAAGATTGGGATGTCAAATGACATTAGCCTGTTTATAAAAGTACATTAAATTTTTTCATAAGGGGTAGCATCATCCTCCAATTCCTCCCAGCTGGGTATGTCTTTGTTTACTGACTAAATTGTTTGTGTCTTAACAACTATTACAAAATTTAGCACTAAAATTGGCATACATTTAGTAAATAACTATTTCAAAGAGCTCGGAGTATTTTGTGCAATTTGCCTGTGCAATAACAAAGTTATCTCAAAGCCTGGATCTGCTATCCGTCCCCGCTTAAAACCACGACGGTGAATGTCAGCCTTTGAGAGACTGAACCGTCAAGGTACGTGCCACAAAATGCATCAACACTGAAGTGGCTTACTGATGCATGCTGTAAAAGAGAGGCACCGAATTGAAACTGGCATCGCTTGTATGGGTTGTGAAGACTTGCAGGTATGTTTCCTCATTGTAGCAAACAACCCGTTTTCAAAAACCAAAGACAACTGAGCGCAATAAACA